GGCCCAGGGTCCAAGTCACTAAACATCAATCAAGTCAGCATCACTTTTGGAACCCAAATCAAGGTCACTCCTTGCCTTTGGATCTTGTCTCTTTATCGTCAAGTCCACAATTTCATGCATCATAAATTGGATAACACTATGGACTCTAATATTGATTAATAAATATTGATACAATTCTCTGCTTATGGTTTCTTTAAAGATTTCAGTATTTGAGAAAACCACTGATATTCTTCACATTTACTTCTAACTTTGAGTTATTTAAAGTAATGCGTGTGTATATATGCGTGTATGTGTGTATATGTGTACGTATCTATGCCAACAACCATGTTTCCTATTTGTCATGCACTGAAATCATTATTGTATGGCAATACTGGTCATACTACTGCTTGCTGATACAGTGCAGTGAAGGTGAATCCCTTTTCTTCTGCCAAATTTAAAAAGATGCTTAAGTTTTATAGCACTTGTATTGCAAACTGGACAACTAAATCATGTTTTAAAGCACTGCTCTTTGTTGTTCACAAAGGAGAAAACATTGAGAGTCAGTCCTAAAGCAACACCAAGCCTTACAAGGCTGGGCTCAGAGGCTCTTTACCTCTGTTCTGACATCCTGTCTTCTCTCTGCACTACAAGCAGTGCCGTAAGAATCCTCACACTGAAACACCTAAGGTGTCTCCTTTGTGTCAGCCACCGGTCCAACCAATCTGGATGTGTAATCTCATTTATTCCTCACAACAGACCTAGGAGGTGATCTATAATGCTTCCTCTAGTTTATCATGTTTTAATAGAATAAAGAAGAAAAATGTATGATCATGTCACTAGATGAAGTACGAATATTAGATAAAAATCAGTATCAATTAACCACAAAAACTTTGCAAGTAAGAAGAGTAGAGGATTGTATTAATCTGACCAGGGATGTCTTCAAAAACCCTAAAGATCACTTAAACATCATGCCTAATATTATCACTTTCAGTCACCATTGTACTGAAACTCTCAGCCAGTTTTAAGGCAAGGGAAAACTAAAACGTCAAAGATATGGAAAGGAAAATATAAAATTCTCATTATTTACAAACTAGATGATGGTTTTTGTAGAAAAAATGCAAACAAATCATCAGAGAAAATGTTATAATTAACAAAGTACTAAAACAATATTGCTGGATTCACAGTCAATAATATATGAATATAAAACATTTATAATATACCAAAAATAAAAATCAGAAAGTAAAATTGAGGAAAAAGTATTCCATCTATAATAGGATAAAAATAAAAACAAATATCTTGGAAAAAGCATATTAAAAAGTGTCATACTCTCTATCCAATATATTATAAAACATTGTTGAGAGAAAAATTTTAAAACTGAATACAGTGACATATTATGTTTGTGGATTGGAAGACTCAGTATTTTTAAGATGCCAATTCTTCAAAATCATTGATGTGTGGATGAATTCAATCTCTATAAATATCTCAGGAGGTTTTTGTGGAAATTGAAAAATTAACTCAAATATGTATATAAACATTCAAAAGGTCAAGAATAGTTGAGACAATTTGAAAAAGAAGTAAAAACTAGAGGACTATCATTAGAAATATTTATAAATCTATGGTAGTTAAGACAGTAAGGTATTGTCAAAACATTGGAAAAATATGCCAAAGACTCTATAGAAAGTCCAAAAATTAACTTGCATGTATATGCATTATTTAGGGCAAATAAGGCACTGTAGAGCTTTGGGGAAAATCGTCATTTGAAAAATACATAATGACGTATCAGAGAAGGAGATCAGAAGAAAAAAAAAAAAAAAGAACACTGACCCTCTACAACAAAAATCAATTCTGGGTAAAAGAGCTTAAGAATAAAAGGTGATATGGTTTGGCTACGCCCCTACCCAAATCTCATCTTGAATTGTAGCTCCCATAATCCCCACGTGTCATGTGAGGAACCTGGTGGGAGGTAACTGAATCATGGGGACGAGGTTTTCCCATGTTGTTCCCGTGATAGTGAGTAAGTCTCATGAGATCTGACGGTTTTATAAAGTGCAGTTCTCCTGCACATGCTCTTTTGCCTACTGCTCATGTAAGGTATACCTTTGCTCCTCCTTCACCTTCCGCCATGATTGTGAGGTCTCCCCAGCCATGTGGAACTGTGTGTCCATTAAATCTCTTTTTCCTTACAAACTACCCAGTCTCAGGTATTTCTTCATAGCAGTATGAAAATGAACTAATACAAAAGGTGAAACAGTAGACAAGAAGACAAGAAAGGAGTATATCTTTGTGACCTTTGTATGAAAAAGGATTTCCTAACCAGGACACAGAGAATACTAAACCTAAAGGAAACAAAATGAATTGCTTATCTCTAAAATTAAGAACCACTAGGGGCTGGGACCGGTGGCTCACACCTGCAATCCCAGCACTTTGGGAGGCTGAGACAGGGAGATCACCTGAGGTCAGGAGTTCAAGACCAGCCTGGTCAACATGGTGAAACCCCATCTCTACTGAAAATACAAAAAATTAGCCAGGCATGGTGGCAGCCACCTTTAATCTCAGCTACTCTGGAGGCTAAGACAGGAGAATTGCTGGAACCCGGGAGGCGGACCAGCCTGGGCAACAAGAGTCAAATTCCATTAAAAAAAAAAAAAAAAACCCACTAAGAAGAAAGTTAAAAATGCAAGAGTGGATCAGAGTGGAAGAAAATACTTACATGAAAACAAATGACGGCTGGACGTGGTGGCTCACGCCTATAATCCTAGCACTTTGGGAGGCCAAGGCAGGCAGATCACTTGAGGTCAGGAGTTCAAGACCAGCCTGGCCAACATGGTGGAACCCTGTCGCTACTAAAAATATAAAAATTAGCTGGGCATGGTGGCACACGCCTATAATCCCAGCTACTCAGGAGGCTGAGGCGGGAGAATCGCTTGAACCTGGGAGGCAGAGGTTGCAGTGAGCTGAGATCACACCACTGCACCCCAGACTGGGCAACACAGCAAGACTATGTCTCAACAAACAAACAAACAAACAAATAAACAAACACCAAATGACTTTTATATACAATATAAAAAGCATTCTTGCAGGACAGAGTAGCTAAAGAGTTGAAAGAGTCCTTCAAAAAAGAGAAATCCAATTGTCAGTAAACTTACAAAAAGGTGCTCAACTTCTTGGACATCAGAAAAGTGCGAATTCAAATAGCAATGAGGTATTACTACGAACATACCAGAAAGGGTAAACTTACAAAGATGGTAAATACCACATGGCAGAGAGAATGTGGAGCAGCTGGAACCATCACCATGCCCTACTGGTGAGAATGTAAACTGGTACAACCATTTTGGAAAACTATTAATGTTTTCTAAAACTTGACATACTCTACGGCCTAAGAATCCCACCTCTATGGAAGAGTATGCGTCAAACAACATGTGCTAATAGGGCATTCACACACGTACTATTCTTAATAGCTCCACATCTGAATAAGTAAATCTCCATCCACAGCTGAAAGGATACACAGATTGACGTATACTAAGGACATCCAGGCAGCAATATTAATGAATTGTTTCATGCAACATAATGCATTGGTTTTTCATAAAATGCTCATGGCAAGAAGCCAAATACAAATAGAAATTGAGTGACTCCATTCTGATAAATTTCAAATACAGGCAAAATAAATATTGAGTTTCAAAAGTCAGGATGGTGGTGGTTACTCTTGTATGCTTGAGATATTTACTTTTTCAATAGTAGATGTCTACATTTTCATTTTATTACATTATGCTTAAAATTTTAATATTAATAAAATATGTTATATTTTTAAAATACGAATAAGTTGATAATTTTAATTAATACAATAGATTAATCAATTTTCTTACTTAATATTTATTATAAAATTAATTGTAATATAGACATATAATATAATCTTAATGCAATAAATGTTGAATAAACTTTAATTTTAATTAACATTATAGAAATAAAATATATTAATGTTAATAATAATATTATTTTACTTGCAGAATGGATTTCAGCAGCTTGAAAGAAAATCCTGGAATAGGAACCACTCCAACACCAATATCGCTTATGGCACATGGCCCATCAATACCTTGAGTAAAAGTGAATTTCAGAAGAATGAAGAGAATTTTGAAAACCTAACTCTTGAAACAATCTATTCTGCTTATGTTTTTAAGAGGCATAAGAGTGATAAAGATAAAAGACTCTATGTTGAATAAATTCTAAAAGTACCACCTTGATAATAGAAAAACAAATATTCAAAGACAAAAAAAAAATAAACAAAAAGAATTTATGCTAAAGATAAATGTTCAAACGAAATGAATCTATCCTAAGGACAAATGTATTTGGGCCTTAATTAGAAAATAGAAATTCTAAAGGAACTGAAATGTTTCATTGTACTGGAATAATGACATGTATTATGATATTAAGATATACCCATACAGAGTAGCATTTATAGAATGTTATGAAAAATGCATTACAATATAGCAGCTCAAATAATGTTACACAGAAATATGTGTGTATGTTTTATAAACACACTCACACACACACACCCTAACTGAGTGAAAGACAGATGCATAGAAAATTTCTGAAAGGAAACCCACCAAAATGCTGTTTCAGGAAATGATACTGAGAAAATAGGTGACTTTCCCCTCCTACTTTCTAAATTATTTGTATTATGGATCTTTTTTTAAAAAAATAAATAATTTATAACAAAAATTACAGCTCAAAATAATGAGTATTTTGAGTGTTTTGGATATAACATCAGCCAATCAGCCCTCTGGGAAAGAAATGAAGACAAGCTAATATTCCTGAAATGAAAATATTTAAGTAATTGACTGTTGTAGATTTCCAGATGTGAGATAACTATCAACTCATTCAGACTTATACTATTTAAGTGTTTTGTTCAACAACCATTTGCCTTAGTATCGATACAGTGGCTTGACATTTACTTCTTCAAAACTACCTCTACATTACTGTGCTGTTTAAAGCAAGTAGGAAATAAGTAAGTAATGTTTATGTACCTTCTGTTTTCTTCCAGTAGACTTTAACTTGCAGTTGGCCATCCTGATAGAAGGGAGCTCCAACTTCCAGCGGGCGAGTGGGTCGTCGTCTTTGAAAAGGGAGTTGTGTTTGAATTCCACCTTTTCTAGTTTTCGCAAGCTGTTCTTCTATAACAAAGTACAACATTCTAAGTTACTTGTTAAAAATAATTATAGATTCCTGGGCAAGGTGGCCAAATAGGAACAGCTCCAGTATGCAGCTTCCAGTGACACCAACACAGAAGGTGGGTGATTTCTCCATTTCCAACTGAGGTATGCGGCTCATCTCATTGGGACTGGTTAGACAGTGGGTTCAGCCCATGGAGGGCGAGCAGAAGCAGGGTGGGGCATTGCCTCACACAGGAAGCATAAGCCCTGGGAACTTCCTTCACTAACCAAGGGAAGCCATGAGTGAATGACAGCTATCTGGCTCAGATACTACGCTTTTCCCACTGTTTTCACAACTCGCAGACCAGGAGATTCCCTCAGGTGCCTACACCACCAGGGCCCTGGGTTTCAAGTGCAAAACTGGGAGGCCATTTGGATAGGCACAGAGCTACCTGCAGGAATTTTTTTTTTTTTTTTTTTTTTTAGATGGAGTCTCGCTCTGTCGCCCAACAAAGATCAAAAGAGACAAAGAAGGGGAATATATAATGGTAAAGGATTCAACGCAACAAGAAGAGCTAACCTAAATATATATGCACCCAATATAGGAGCACCCAGATTCATTAAGCAAGTTCTTAGAGACCTATAGAGATACTTAGACTCCCACACAATAATAGTGGGAGGTTTTAACACCCCATTGTCAATATTAGACAGAACAACAAGACAGAAAATTAACAAGAACATTCAGGACTTGAACTCAGCTCTGGACCAAGCGCACCTATAGGTATCTACTGAACTCTCCACCACAAATCAACAGAATATACATTCTTCTCAGCACCATATAGCACTTATTCTAAAATTGACCACATAATTGGAAGTAAAATATTCCTCAGCAAATGCAAAAGAATGGAAATAATAACACAGTCTCTCAGACCACAGTGCATTCAAATTGGAACTCAGGATTAAGAAAGCCACTCAAAACCATACAACTACATGGAAACTGAACAATATGCTCCTGAATGACTACCGGGTAAATAATGAAATTAAGGCAGAAATAAGTAAGTTCTTTGAAACCAAGGAGAACAAAGACACAATGTACCAGAATCACTGGGACACAACTAAAGCAGTGTTTAGAGGGAAATTTATAGCACTAAATACCCACAAGAGAAAGCGGGGAAGATCTAAAATCGACACCCTAACATCACAATTAAAAGAACTGGAGAAGCAAGAGCAAACAAATTCAAAAGCCAGGAGAAGACAAGAAATAACTGAAATCAGAGCAGAACTGAAGGAGATAGAGACACAAAAAAACCCTTCAAAAAATCAGTGAATGCAGGAGCTCGTTTTTTGAAAACATTAACAAAATAGGTAGACCACTAGCCAGAATAAAAAAGAAGAAAAGAGAGAAAAATCAAATAGACACAATAATAAATGATAAAGGGGATATCACCACTGATCTCACAGAAGTACAAACTACCATCAGAGAATACTATAAACACCTCTATGCAAATAAACTAGAAAATCTAGAAGAAATGGATAAATTCCTGGGCACATACACCCTCCCAAGACTAAACCAGGAAGAAATTGAATCTCTGAATAATAGCCTACCAACCAAAAAAAGCCTAGGACCAGATGGATTCACAGTCGAATTTTACCACAGATGCAAACAGGAGCTGGTATTATTCCTTCTAAAACTATTCCAAACAATAGAAAAAGAGGGACTCCTCCCTAACCCATTTTATGAGGCCAGCATCATGCTGATACCAAAACCTGGCACAGATACAATAAAAAAAGAAAATTTCAGTCCAATATCCCTGATGAACATTGATGTGAAAATCCTCAATCAAATACTGGCAAACCAAATTCAGCAGCACATCAGAAAGTTTATCCATCACGATCAAGTTGGCTTCATTCCTGGGATGCAAGGCTGGTTCAACATACTCAATCCATCACATAAAGAGAACCAATGACAAAATACACATGATTACCTCAATAGATGCAGAAAAGGCCTTCAATAAAATTCAGCACCCCTTCATGCCTAAAAACTCTCAATAAACTAGGTATTGATGGAACATATCTCAAAATAATAAGAGCTATTTATGACAAACCCACAGACAATATCATACTGAATGGGCACAAGCTGGAAGCATTCCCTTTGAAAACTGGCACAAGACAAGGATGCCTTCTCTCACCACTCCTATTCAACATAATATTGGAAGTTCTGGCCAGGGCAATCAGGCAAGAGAAAGAAATAAAGGTATTCAAATAGGAAGAGAGGAAGTCAAATTGTCTCTATTTGCAGATGACATGATTGTATATTTAGGAAACCCAATCGTCTCAGCCCAAAATCTCCTGAAGCTGATAAGCAACTTCAGCAACGTCTCAGGATACAAAATCAATGTGCAAAAATCACAAGCGTTCCTATACACCAATAACAGACAAACAGAGAGCCAAATCATGAGTGAACTCCCATTCACAGTTGCTACAAAGACAATAAAATATCTAGGAATCCTACTTACAAGGGATGTGAAGGACCTCTTCAAGGAGAACTACAAACCACTACTCAAGGAAATAAGAGAGGATACAAACAAATGGAAAAACATTCCATGAGCATGAATAGGAAGAATCAATATTGTGAAAATGGACATACTGCGCAAAGTAATTTATAGATTCAATGCTATTCCCATCTAGCCACCACTGACTTTCTTCACAGAATTAGAAACAACTACTTTAAATTTCATGTGGAACCAAAAAAGAATCCGTATAGCCAAGACAATCCTAAGCGAAAAGAACAAAGCTGGAGGCATCATGCTACCTGATTTCAAACTACACTACAAGGCTACAGTAACCAACACAGCATGGTACTGGTACCAAAACAGATACATAGACCAATGGAACAGAACAGAGGCTTCAGAAATAACATCACACATCCACAACCATCTGATCTTTGACAAACCTGACAAAAGCAATAGGGAAAGGATTCCCTATTTAATAAATG